GGAAAAAAAGGTGTTTTAATGGGTGCTAAGTAGCAACTCCCCTTAGGGATTTAAAAATAAAAATAGAAGCAGCACAAAATAATATTTTAACCCTTCTATTGTATCACAGGATCACCTATAATATAAAATGCTGCATTGCACACAGAACAATGCAAACAACAACTTTATTTGAATTCTGAAAATAGAATTTTGAATTCTTGTAGGTCTTTTGGGGACTTTTCCACCACTTCTTTGGAGAAGAGAAAGTTACAAATGAGAAAACCAAACTTTGCCAGGAGTAGGGCTCATAAAACTGCACAGTTGATAGAATCGCAGCATGGTTTGGGTTGGAAGGGACCTTAAAGCTCATCCAGTCCAACCCCTGCCATGGGTGTGGAGTTTTGGGCACATCTCATAGGAGCTGCAAAAGCAGCTTTAGACCCTCGCTCGGTGTGACCTGCCTTCACCAAAGCCAGAGCTGGTCAGAGAGTGGGGATTTTGTGGAAAATGGTACAAAATGAAGCCTATATCCCCAAACTTTTTAAGCCTCTTTACTAGCAGAACTCTGGAATTTTCTCTCTGAAGAATATGAAGGAATTATTTGAGTAATTTTTTTCAATAAACCAGTTTTCCACAGAAGTGATTTCCTACCCAGAGCCCAAAGGCAGCCCGTGATGCTGCAGAGCATTCGATGTGTGCCCTGCAGTCACGTCCTGGGTCTGGGGGGTCTCAGATAGGGCTGTACTGTGTGAGTTCCTCTTGTATGGCCAGGTTTTGCTGAGGGACTTCTCTCCATGTTTCAGTCCCAGCCTTTGGCACAAGCTTGCTTCCTTCATGCATTTGTCCAACACCAAGATAGAGCTCCACTGATATTGAGGGGTTATATCCTTCCTCAGGCTCATGATTTTGTAATATTTACTGGAGGGAAGAGTAAAGTAAAGAGTAAAATGCCTTTATTTTTATCTTGTGCCTCATTCTCACATTACAACAGAGACACCAACCTGTTTCTGCCATTTAGTCTAAGCAGTCCAAGGAGCCAAGCAGTGCTCTGTCTACACACAATGATCGAAAATTGCCTCTTCTGCCCCACATGAGCATACCCAGTGCTCAAATGGCACTTGACCAGGGTTGCTTTGCTCCCTAGCGAATATGACCCATTCATTCCTATTGGTTTTAAACACACCAGCTTTTAATAAGATAAAAGACCTTATCTCTCTCTACATCTCTCTGAAAAGAGGTTGTAGAGAGGTGGGTGTTGGTCTCTTTTCCCAAGTAACCAGTGACAGGACAAGGGGTAATGGCCTCAAGTTGTGGCAGGGGATGTTTAGGTTGGATCTGAGGAAAAGATTCTTCACTGAAAGAGTGGTCAAGCACTGGAAGGGGCTGCCCAGGGCAGTGGTGGGGTCCCCATCCCTGGAGGTGTTCAAGAAGCCGTGGATGTGGCACTTGGGGACATGGTTTAGTGGCCATGGTAGGATTGGGTTGATGGTTGGACTTGATAATCTTAGAGGTCTCTTTCAACCTTAAGGATTCTGTGTTTCTGTGATTCAGCCTCATCTTTCCTCATAGTTTTAAAATCAATGCTTGTTTGGAGTCATCCACACACAGCTTGCTCTAGACTGGGGCTGTCGTCACATGCAGCTGCTCACAAGGGCAGGGTTGAAGCTATGGAGTACCTCCTGCAGACCCTCGGAGCCCAGAAGCATCCCTGTTTGTTCCAGCTCCCAGCTGGTCCAATGCACCATTTGCTGCAGACTTTGCTGCTCTCATATCCTAAGGTGATGACAGCTCTGCAGTGGGTAGCTCACAGTGACTCTGTAATGTCCTAAGGGCTTAAGACTCAGCAGACCCCCTGGACCCTTGGGTTGTGGCACAGCCTCCTCTGCAAGGGTCTGTCAGACCCTCAGATAGGAGGGGGGCCTTTAGCTGGATTTACAAAGACTGAGACAAGCACAATCAGACAGATTCCTCCCACCCCATAAACTCAGACTTTGTCAACCATGGAGCCAACCTCCAGCCCTCATTCCTGGCATTGTTCTCTAGATTTTCCAGTTTGGACCAGGCTTACCCAGTAGGACGTACCCCTTCTTCCCAGAGCCTTGCTCTCTCCTCCAAGGCAGCTCTCTGTCCATACACTGGAAAACCTCCTTGTGGTGGCTGGCAAGGACACACTGTCCTACTCCAGCATCACCGGGCTTCCTGTTTAGTGTCCAAAAATTGTGAGGCACTAACACTGCTTGTGCTGCTAGGAAATGTCCTAACTTGCTCCATACCCTGGAGAACCTCAGGCAGACCACCCTGAAGTGTCTCTCTCTGGTCAGTCCTCTCCATCCCTTTGCAGGCAGAGCCTGGGCTGTGATAAGATGCTAATGCTGGATTTGCAAGGGCTTCTCGTTTTCCCTCTTAACAGAGAGGGAACTCAGAGCCTGGCATTGGGGTTTATTCCACACACACCACAGTGTGACTGATCAGAGATTCCTGTCTTTCTTCCCCACCAGAGACCTAAGCATGAACAACATCAGCCGGCTGCAGCCCAGTGCTCTCCATCACCTGCGCTTCCTGGAGGAGCTGTAAGTATGGAGCGGCCACCCCAGCATGGGCAGGGTGGCGGGGGGACACTGCAGAGGGTGCCTGTGGCTCTGGGGGCAGCCCCCAGTGCTGATACAGGCTGAGATGGAAGGAGGCTGCACCTGGGAGAGGGTTTATTTGCTACTCTAGCTTAGGGGTTTGACTGAGGTCATTACCTTCAGGCTGAGATGGCACACGTGCCAAAAGCCAAAATAAAAGAGGACACAAACCATTATGCAAGAATCAGCACTGTAATCCAGAGCAGAGCCAGCAAACAGGGAGCTTCGTTCCCCTTCTGCATACAGTCCCCACACAGTCCAGAGACACCTTGGCTCCCGGGCTCTTTGCAGTTTGGATGGCAATGAGCCTGGGCAACTGGAGTCCAAAAAACTTGCTCCAGTGGCTGGGGTGTCCCGTCATGCACCGTGTGTGCTGCAGTCGGAGCAGGCACGCTCAGACACAGCAGCCATCGCTGTCCCTGCGGATCAGCATGGGGCTGTGTCAGGGAAAGGGCAGCTCCACTTCTGAAATTAGCCACCAGCATTAGAAACCACTGGAATACCTTCAGAGCCCCAAAAATGGGAGCCCCAGGGGGAAAAGATTGAGATTGGCCATTTCTGCATGGGTAAATTGCACCTGTATGGTCTTATTCCACTTGAATACCTCCAGGTGTTATTCCCGTGCTATTGCTCCTTTCAACACACTACCTCCTGTTGGAAAATGCAGTTTCTTCAAAACACTATAATTACATTGCATGAAATACTAATATTAATGCTGCATTTCATGTCTATGTTGTAAACTTACTGGATATATAACACTACAGCTTATTCTGTCTAAATGAAACACTTTGACTTTACTGGATCACTTCTTGCAGCCACTGCCGCTCAGGACATTGCCATTTCAAAAATGGTAGTTTCCAGAATGTCAGAATTTCCTGCAGAGAAGGGTTTTTCACTACCCTGAAAGGAGGCATTTTCATCTCCCAGATGTGCTGTCCCACATGTTCTGCAGTGGAGTGGCCCTGAGTCATCAGCATCCATTAGCACAGCGCAGAGCCAGTGACAAGCATGGGTTGTGTTGCTGACGGACCTGAGCACCACACGGCCCTGTGCAGTGCTCGGGCACCTCTGTCACAAGCAGAAAGTCCCCGCTGTACACTTAGAGATGAGTCTGCACAGGAGCATTCAGACTTGTGTAGACACATACATGCAAAGACAAACTTTCTTCTCTGAACATTCAGTCCTGACTAAAGAGATCAGACCAGACATTGAAGTTCATTATTCCCATAACAGGTCAAATCTCATTATTATCATATTATAGGTTTATAACTTCAAATGATCTTGCAACTCCTCTTCATCTGTCTGTAGTTTCTATTTGTTAGACTTGTAAGGACCCCAGCTGCCCAAATTCCCCTTCCCATGCAGCATTTACAGCGTGAGCAGGAGGCATTTTTTACCCTTCCTCACCTCTGGAGCTCACGCTGCCCACAGAAGGTCGGATGTGGAGACCTCGCACCCATCTTGCAGCCTTTTCTTTCCATTTTGTCAACATCTTTGTGGAAGTGTGGGCACCCAAAGTGTGTATTACTGGGGGCAGTGCAGTGTTTCACACACAGACACCATTCTCTGTTGTATACAATTAGCAGTTGTCTTGCTGCAAGCAACCAGGTCCTGATTACATCAGGTACAAATAGAACAGTCTCAACCAGCAATGAATAAATATTCACAGGCTCTAGAAGACCCAGCTTCCCACAGTCAAAATTAACTAGGAATGAAATGAAGAGGAAAAATTTAAACTTGAAAATCTGAAAAATAATTGGAAGTTGTTAGAGAACGTTTTGCTAGAGGTTCAAAATGCACCAAGTCCTCATTCAGAAAGCAAAGGTATTTTGACTAGGGAAAAACATCACATTTAGGAGAAGAGTTGGAAATGGCAGCATTATATATCTATGCATACCTAGGTTCATGCTGGAATTTGATAGCAATAATACAGTGATCCTATTTATGTCAATCAAGAAATTGATATGAAATCAAGCAAGAAAGGGTTTTTATATCTTATCGGAATCTGAAGCAATTCTTTCAACAACAGCATTTAGACAGGGATGGTGTGTGTATGTACATTAGTCACAAGGCTGTCACCAACCTGTAATACCAATTGCCTGGCATTTCCCCTGCTCTTTTCCCTTATATCTTTACCAAACTTTCACCCCAAAACATCACATCAAGACCATCCCATTCGGGATGGGATCATCCTCTGTGCTGGGAATCAATCAAACAGATCCTGCCTGTTTACACACCCTCGACAGAAGTTTGTTCAGGTTTCACAGCTCAAACCTCTGCAGATTTCATCTACTCTGAACACATTCCCTTGGGTCAACCCAAAAGAATTCCTTGATCTGAAACAAAAGAAGTTTGTTCCATTGTCAGGTTACTTCTTAACCTTTAATCTTTCACTTTGGGTCAAACCTGAAAAGCAAACGGTATATTTAAATGGCTTTATTGCAAAGATGACTTACATAGGATGATTGAACATTCTGAAAAAAAATTACAGGTTCCTTAGCCAAAATATTGTCCAAATTCAGCTCAGGCTTTTAAATCTCCTTTTCAAGTCCCCTGAAACTCTTATACATTAGAGACATTTTTACCTTGTTCTAATGCTGAGAAATACCCAATAAACTCCTGACACTCCTGGCCTTCTAACACACGAGGATGTCCTGTAACCCTCACCCCAGCAGGTCCGTGCTCCTCTGCCTCCCCACAAGCTCCCCACAGTTCCCCTCTCCTGCTCTGCCACTGCCCATCTTCTCATTAGAGATGGTCCCATATCCCAGAGTCACAGCAGCTTGGAGGAGAGCTGGTGTTTCACACCTTTTACCATTCCTCATTCTGTGCCTCTGTTTTAGCACCATCTCGGGCTCCCTGAGGTGGAGCATCATGATAGTCAGAGATCAGCGGGACTCAAGGCTCAGCTTACGCATGGAGCTGGGGTTCAACCAAGGAGCAGGAATACTGGGAAGAGGAAAGAAAAGGGGTAGATGAAGCACTCCCATGGAAACTGAGGACACATGTACCATGTTGCACACAGAATCACAGAATATTAGGAGTTGGAAGGGACCTCGAAAGCTCCCCCAGTGCAACCCCTGCCAGAGCAGGATCACCAGAGCAGTCACACAGGAACATGGCCAGGGGTTTGGGTGTCTCCAGAGAAGGAGACTCCACAACCTCTCTGGGCAGCCTGGGCCATGCTCTGTAACCCTCACAGTAAAGAAGTTTTTCCTTATGTTCAGGTTGAACCTCCTGTGCTCCAGCTTGGGACCATTGCCCCTTGTCCTTTTGTTGGCTATCACTGAGCAGAGCCTGGCTCCTTCCTCCTGACACTCACCCTTTACAAATTTATAAACATGAATGAGGGCACCCCTCAGTCTCCTCTGCTCCAAGCTCAAGAGCCCCAGCTCCCTCAGCCGCTCCTCATCAGGGAGATGCTCCACTCCCTCAAGCTGCCCTGGAGCACAGCGAATCCAGGCTGCTGGATCCACCTGAGCCCCAGGTACCTCAGTCCTCTGCAGGCACCCACACCAGGTCAGGAACACAAGAAGCAGGCTGGCACTTGAGGGTCTCGAGGACAGCAATCACAGCCAGGTTGTGACCCACGGGACATTTCTGTGTTGGTTCAGCTCCCCTCCAGAGACCAAACGACCATGTCACGCATGGGATCGGAGGCAACACATGAGGGCACAGGACTGCTCCAGCTCAAACTGCTCACTCACTGTGTGGTCCTGGTAAAACGGTTTTCCCTGCCAGTGCCTCTATTTACCCATCCATGCAGTGAGGAGAAGGGGCCTCTCAGGTGTGCCGGGACCTGTTAGTCATTAGTTTGTACTGTGAGCTGCTCAGGAAGGTGTTGTGGGTGCAATTAACCCTGATGCTCAGAGACTGCCAAGAGACCAGATTCTCCAGTCTCTGCCAGCTTTGAAGAGGCAGTGCCACCAAGGACTCCTCTCCTGATCACTCTGTGCTCTCTTCTGACCCCACAGCCCCCAGCTCCAGCAGGGGTAGTGCAGGGACAGCAGCAGGCATGGTCCCGTCCTTCCCCCCAGTGATCCACTGAAAGCCTCCCGTGATAGAGGCGTTCAGACCTGGGCCTCACACAGGCAGGGAGCAGCCCAGAATTTTGTGTGTCTCCTCTTTGCTTCTTTCTTTTTTTTTCCTCTTCTTTTCTTTATTTCTCTCTTTTTGGCAGCAGGAAGATTGTTTAAAGTTGCTAATAAATTCCAGTTAATGAAGCCTGAAAAGCCAGAGCTAGGAGCCAAGAGAAACAAGAGCAATCAGTACAGAAGGAATAGAAAGAGGATCTTGAAAGCCAGCCTGGGAATAATAACATGTTGAAATGTGTTCGCCGGCAAGGGCTTTGTTACCGCACTTTGAATCCAAACATGAGTGCTCGGTGCCAAGAAGGGAAACTGCAGCCAAAGGCAGGTGTTCATTGCCATTCACCTCTTGCTTCAGGGCACAGCGGCAAGATCAGACCCCTTCCCAGCCACTGGCTCTTTCACCTGCCTCTTCTCGGCCCCAGGGCAGAGGCACTCTCGTCACAGGGAGTGCCATGCCTCTGCGGCTGTGTGGGCACGGCCGGCTCAGGACCTGCAACGCAGCCTCCCTGTGCGGACTGGTCCCTTCCCCAGGCAGCTCCTGCAACTCGAGGGACTGGAGGGCAAGAAACAGCATAAAAGCAGAACAAAATCAAGTACGAGGATGCTGGGAATCTGAACACAGCAGCCCTCTCCTCCCCCCCTGCACCAGGGAAGAAACCTCCTTCCCACTCCCGTTCCCTTGTGGGTACAAGGACTAGTGGAGCCACTGTGGGTATGGAGCACCAGCACTGCTGCAGTGTGGGAGCACCCACCAACACCCATGCCAGCTCCCAGACATCTGAGACATCCAAGACATCCGCCTTCTGGGGTCTTGTCCACACAGGGTCTCACTCTAAGGGGCTGTCATTCCTG